GAGAAACACACGTGGAGCCAAACAACGGAGAAAGCATCAAACCGACGGATGACGCTGAAAACTGCGGAGAAAAACGGAGAACCGTCAAATCATAACAGCGGGGACGCCTTGCTGCTCATCTGGTGATCAGAAAACTCATTTTTTTCTCTCCTTTTCTTCTCCCGTTTCCTCTATAGTCCAGAATAAGCAATAAAACCGCGCTATTGCTTAAAAAGTAGCTTCGTGTTTTCCTCTTTCGCTCCCAATTCGTCCTTCGGGTCATTTTGAAAGAATAAACTGCTTATTGATCATCGCTAATATCTTTAGTCGTCAGCTCTGGCCAGGCTGCCGACTCCTTTTAGATTAAATAATTTACAAGTGACCTTTTGTTGTTTGTTAACTTTTGAAGTGTTTGAGTTAAGTTTTACTGTGATTCTAAGCCACTAAGTGTTCGGGAAAGTAGAAAACTTTACACATCCAGGTCTCCTGTTGAATGCGAGGGGAGGGGAAGAGCCCCACACACACTCACAGCTCACTCCCCCCACCTACTCTGGGGAAACAAAGACCCATTCATCTCACACACACACACACACTCACTCACACACACCACACAAACACCTTGAACATTATTTTGAATATACATCCTTTTATTATATCACATGGTTATTATTCATTTATGCCACTGTTTATTCATTTGACAAATTGTTAATTAAACGTTATAAAATTCAGATTTTCGTCTCCAGTAGCTTTGTTGTGTCGAAGAGAGGTCTCTGCTCCAAGGATTCTACGAACTTCAAGAAAGACTGATAAGAGTTTTGGATTCAATTTTTCCCCGGTTAAAGGGGAATGGTGCCCCGTATATCTAAGAATATCTTAATTAATTAATAAATCAGTAAATATTCTCATATTTACAGAATTTATTGAAGAATCCAAAAGTAAGTTAACGCTTACTAATTGTTCGCTCCTAATAACCCCAACATTCATTTTCAATTATGTTTCAATTCATATTTCCAGAGATTAAAGGTAAAAACAGCCCACTGTGTATTTAATGAAGCCGTCTAAGTTTGGTTTTGGTGGCTTGAGACTAGTGATGCGGAGGTCATCACCCTTTTGAGGGTTTGCTGTTTGATCCCCAGGGCCTGCTGCACACCAAAATGTCTGTGGGCAAGATACCATTTTCCTTGGGGCAGCAGTAGTTCAGGAGGTTGAGTGGGTTGTCCAGTAATCAGAAGGTTGCAGGTTCGATCCTGGCTCCAGACAGAGAATTCTGCTGTTGTGTCCTTGGGCAAGACACTTAACCCACCTTGCCTGCTGGTGGTGGTCGGAGAGACTGGTGGCACCAGTGCTCTGCAGCCTCGCCTCATCAGTGCCCCCAGGTCAGCTGTATTGTAGTTCATCACCATCAGTGAGTGAATGTGTGCGTGAATGGATGAATGATATGCTGAAGTGTAAAGCGCTTGGAGTCCTCTGACTCTGAAAGGCCACATGCAAGTGCAGGTCATTTATCATTTATTATCTAAAGTCCCCAATATGTTCTTTAACTTTATTTCCTTTAGAAGTCCTGCTTTTGAAGTTCAAACACAGTAACCGTGTTAGTGTATGTGGATCAATGAAAAATAGATACATTTACAAAACACTTTGTATCACCTGAAGAAGAGGCATTATAAAAGTATGGACTGTTAATTGTTTTGTTTTTTATGTCCTTCATCTTCCTGAGCACATCCCTCCACATTTGGCCTCCTGGTGGCGCTAAGCCTAGCCGTCCTGGTTGTAGGAGGTGCTGTGTACTACTTAATCACCCTGTTGTCCATCCTCCTTCCACAGACAGGCTGAGCAGGCTGATTTGGTCCACCAAAGAGAGAAGGCCACAGAAACAAAAATACCATAACTGCTGTATCTGAATCTATTTAAAAGCATAGCTCAGTATTTTCCTCTTTTGCTTGAGTTTATTGTCTGAGTGGCTGTAATGGTATGATATCATTTTATCCTTATATTTAGTTTACTTACATTCTTATGTGACCAACTGATACTTCATATGCAAAACCCAGAGTTATCTCCAAATAAAGATGTATTGTCTCACTTTGGCTGCAGCCATTAAGCAACAAAACTGGGGCACTACTTTGAAAAAAGACACTTCTAAAACTGGAAGAAAAAATAACATTTTGGTGTCCTTTCGAAGAACTTGGCTGGCTGGAATGCAGATGTCTCCTTTCCGACAGACAGCCAGGCTCTGTACAGTATTCCACAGGCATGCTTTGGGTGATCCCAGGTGTGTCAGTGCATGAAAGTAAATTCCTGCTCTTTTGTTAGACCCCGCCTATGCCATGCTGTAGCTTGCTTTTGTCTTCAACACTTAACTAACTTCTGCAAAAACCTTGGTGTTCATATTTAGGTAAGAGCTTTCCTTTTTTCCTTTCACGACAAATGTCAGTTATAATGTTTGGAGGCAACAGAGCTGGAGTGTGAATCACACACTTCATCATTCAGCACAGCTTAGCAGAGCCGTGTCCAGGACTTTAAAAATGGGGTGGCCCATGTGGGGCACTTGTTTATGCATGGGTGGCACCAATTGTTATGCTTATTTATTTATTCACACAAATCGTTTATTTATTTACTTTCTAGTGAATTTTGCAGTTTCACATTGCACAATCACCCATTTTTTTCTATTCATCTTCTAGTTTTGTGGTGGTTTGCAAGTCACTTCTTGTTGCATTATTGCCATCAACTGGAGTTGAGTGGGACTCTAAATACTATGTGAATATGAAAAATATAGGATTAGATTTGTGCCAATAGGATCAAGAAAAACACTTTGGAGAGCAAACAAATTTTAAGACATTGAGAGAAAAAAACATTCGTTTCAAAAGAAAAACTTATGATCTGAATCAGATTCTTAAAATGATCAAGAAAAACACTTTGTCGGTCAAACAAAAATTAAAAAATTGACAGAACAAAAATATTGACTAAAGGAAAAAAACATGTTTCAAAAGTAAAACTTACTATCTGAATCAACTTCTTAAAATGAGTAACAAAGTATGTTTCCTTTTTCTGTTTGCCTCTATGTGTTTTTGTTATCAATTTCCTTAATTTTGTTCTCGCTGCTCAGAGCTTTGCTCTCACTACCAGATTTGCACTTACACTGTCTGGCTTTCTCCTTTGCAATCCCTGAGTTTTTGGTTGCAATTCTGACACAACCCTTTCGGGTGGGCGGGACTTCTGAGAAGTCCTCTCCCATAGGACAGTGGTTTCTCTTGAGTGACAGTTCAGTGACCTGGAAGTGATGTAGCCTCCAAGACATTTTTTTTCCCACCTTGTCAACAACATGAATTTTGAGCCCCAAACACGTTATTTCTGCTGTCTGTGGTGTCTACTGAGGATCTAAAGTGAGTATTGATAATATATTTTATCTTTTCTTAGTTAATCTGTAAGTTAAACCACTTTTTAAGTTGGTTTTAAGCAGACGTTAGCTCACTAGCTAGCTGCTAAGCAAGCCATTGTGCTAGCCTCAGGACAATGGTCTACTGTTCCAGAGACATATTAAAAACTCATCTTAACATATTCATTACTGGTTTCATGGAATAAATTATTGCAGTTTATGTTAATAAGTTAGCTAATTTTTCAGTAACCTGTGGAACATCAGAAACTTTGCAGCTATTAGAGTTAACCTGTGTACTGCTAACTTACTACAGAGGAAGCAGCAGAAAGCTGAGCTAACAGGCTTTTTGCAGGTAAATACTCTTTTAGTGGAACTGCAGGATTTTTATGGTGTAACTCAGAATCTACATGAGCTATTGTGGGAAGACTTTTAAACTACATTTACATACATACATACATATATATATATATGCATTTTTTATTCCATGTTACTTGGACGGGCTAAACAAGTTCATAGTTCTGCCTGCTCCTTTTTCGGTGAAACTAATGGATTATATGATGTAACTCTCTAGTAAATCTATAGTAACCATAGTCTGGTGACTAGTGTCTAGTTTAGCTACTTTTAGCTTAGCTGGAGTAATATAGTCTAACTCTGCCTCAACTGGTGACTTTTCTACTTCATTGTCAGCCAGACAAAATGTTGCTGCAGACACGCCCAAGGTACTGACCCCACAATAGAAAATCATAATGTCCACATTTATTTCCCACAATCTCAAACGTCACACTAAAAATAAACTTTTAGCTCTGATTTAATTATTTCCTTATTGATATCAGTTTTCCCTTTGTTGTAGGCAATCCTCGGGTGTCAGCAGGAGGAGGTGACCACCTGCATAACAGAGCACCCTGGTTCTGAGCCAGTTGCACCTTTGTGCTGCTCTTTGGGGAGGCGATGCTCAGCAGGTTAAACAACTGTAAGATTGATTTTGTTCATAGATTTTGTTTAGATCTCATACATCACCAGTTTTTCTTTCTTACAGACTCATGCCTCCATGTGGTCAGGTGGTGTTGGTGTGATCTGGGAGGGCACACTCATGTTGTCATCTCCTTGTGCCGTCTCCAGGATCCCGATGGGAGTTCTCTGTGCCTATAAAGCAGGGGTATTTACTTCTGGGCCTGGAGGGCCGGTATCCAGCACGTTTTAGTTTTAACTCTGTTTCAACACACCTGATTTCAGTCAGCAGATAATTAACAGGCTTCTGCAGAGCTGTTGCAGAGGTAATTCAACCACTGATTCAAGTGTGTTGGAGCAGGGAAACAACTAAAACGTGCTGGATACCAGCCATCCAGGACTAGAATTGAATACCCCTGCTATAAAGCCTTCCTCCCTCCTCCGGACTTTAAACATTAGTATTTTATTATGGTTTACCTGATTTAGTAAATAAATCTCAATTTATAAATTTCCTGTTTTGGTGCCTGTCCATAAAATCCTGCATTAGACACCGAAAGCTGAATGGATGCCTTTCATTCACTTTGACATTCAATGTATTTTTAAAGATATCGGCTGTTTAACAGAGTGGTGCAAAAATAATTGCTAATGTCATGATTTTTGCAACAACCTGACCTTCGTGCAGAGAAACTCAGGAGACAAATGAGCTAAAAACAGTTTATTAAAGTGTTTGATGGATGACTGAAGAGGTAACAGCTGGAGATCAGGAACCAGAAGCTTCTGCGAGGAAGAGCAGACGTTAGTAAGAGGCAACAGGTCAGGTTTTTCTTAGACTGTGCAGGTAGCTTACAGAGAATGAGAAACGCCACAGAGATGGAGCCACAGGTTTTAGTGTTTAAAGATCAGAAGGCCCTGAGGTAAAATTGAGTGTTAGTAATGACTAAAGAGAGACTTACAAAAGGAAAAGTTTAGTTACTTACGGTCTGAAGTCGTAGCGCAGACAGGAGACAGCAGAATGGTGGAGAAACAACCAGAAGTCTGGGAGAATGACAGCATGAGTTGCAAGCGGGTGAGCAGAAGCCGACTGCCAGTATAGTTATGTGATCAGGAGCTTCAAGGAAAGAATTCCCATAGATCTGCATAGAAAATGAGAACGTAAGTTTGAAAAACGGCAGAGTCATGGGCTAGATATGGGTTAAAACACTGATGAGTGACCAGCTACCAGCTTTTATTCAAGGATGGGGTTACAGGTGTGTGAGGATGTGCCTGCCCCATGAGAAGAGTTTTCAGGTAAGCTTCTCCATGGTGCTCTGCAATGGTGACTAGCAAGGCTAAGGAAGAGATTAAAGGGAACACAAACCCAGGACTCCGACCCAAACTCCTAACAGCAACACAACGACCTCCCACAGGCGGCTGTTCCACGGTCACACGCAGCTGCCTGAAGTTCAGCATCAGGCAACCTGTAGGCGATGTAATCATACGTGGCTTCTGAGCATGCAAGTTTATTCTAACTGTACAGCGTACAATAATAATAAAGATTTATATTGTGTTGTGTTGCTCACCTTAAAGGTTCTTTTAAAATCTTAACCTGAGCCTGCTTACAGCAGGTCTTTCAGGTCTTTTGAACTAGACACAGAGAGGTTAAGGCACAGGTACTTAGTCAGACTCCTGATATGGTAGAGCATCCACCACCACAGACTCCTGATATGATAGAGCATCCACCACCACAGACTCCTGATATGATAGAGCATCCACCACCACAGACTCCTGATATGATAGAGCATCCACCACCACAGACTCCTGATATGATAGAGCATCCACCACCACAGACTCCTGATATGATAGAGCATCCACCACCACAGACTCCTGATATGATAGAGCATCCACCACCACAGACTCCTGATATGATAGAGCATCCACCACCACAGACTCCTGATATGATAGAGCATCCACCACCACGGACTCGAACAATAGGTCCATATGCTTGTCAACTGGAAACAATGGAAAAAGATTACCATTAGTACAGATATTTATCCATAACCATCACTGTGGGTTTATTATACAGCATATGAACTACATGAGGTGGGATTGGTCTGCAGTAGGGATGTGTATTTTTGACTGAATTTATTGTAGGAATATTCAATAAACAGTCCAAACTGATACTTAACATATATAACATGAGTTATCTGAACCATAATAGCGAGATTTAAATTTCAATGGTGGAAACAAAACCCAATGCACACTGCTGCCAACTAGCGGTCGACATTTAAAGTGCACCAAAAACAAAGAAAATACACAAATGTTTGCATGTAAATTCTTCCAAAAATTAGATACACTGCTTTTGAAAATGGATGTAATATCTCAGGAAAAAAATCACGATATATTACCACATCGATATTTTAGAGACACAGTTTGAGAATATCGATACAATATCACTGGGAAAATATATCGCGATATATTGTCATATTGATATTTTCTTACAACCCTTGTCTGCAGTGTACTTTGTGTACACTATGGTGTGTCTTAGCTCACCAGCTGCAGTTGATGCATGTGGCCGTGTAGCACTTCCATTGTAATGCAATGCAGTAGTTTTCAATCTAAAAAGAAAGAACAAATAAATAAAAAATAGCTTTTAGACAAAAATATAGATTTTATGTAAAAATTAATTAAAAGCATGTATTTAACTCATTATTGATTATCTGCCCTGGATAACATTCTTTTGAACACGTGACAGAAAGCACACTGAATCTGATTTGTCTTGTTCTGACAAACAAATGTCAGATCTGTATACTGGAAAGAAATTTATTATCAAACATACTCACTTAGATAATCAGTCAGAGTTACATCATAAAATCCATTCGTTTCACTGAAAAAGGAGCAGGCAGAACTATGAACTTGTTTAGCCCATCCAAGTAACATGGAATAAAAAATGCATGTATCTATATGTAAATGTAGTTTAAATGTCTTCCCACATTAGCTCATGTAGATTCTGTCTGAGTTATACCATAAAAATCCTGCAGTTCCACTAAAAGAGTATTTACCTGCAAAACAGCCTGTTAGCTCAGCTTTCTGCTGCTTCCTCTGTAGCAAGTTAGCAGTACACAGGTTAACTCTAATAGCTGCAAAGTCTCTGATGTTCCACAGGTTCCTGAAAAATTTGCAAACTTATTAACATAAACTGCAATAATTAATTCCATGAAACCAGTAATGAATATGTTAAGATGAGTTTTTAATATGTCTCTCTGGAACAGTAGACCATTGTCCTGAGGCTAGCGCAATGGCTTGCTTAGCAGCTAGCTAGTGAGCTAACGTCTGGTTAAAACCAACTTAAAAAGTGGTTTAACTTACAGATTAACTAAGAAAAGATAAAATATATTATCAATACTCACTTTAGATCCTCAGTAGACACCACAGACAGCAGAAATAACGTGTTTGGAGCTCAAAATTCATGTTGTTGACCAGGTGGAAAAAAAATGTCTTGGAGGCTACATCACTTCCAGGTCACTGAACTGTCACTCAAGAGAAACCACTGTCCTATGGGAGAGGACTTCTCAGAAGTCCCGCCCACCCGAAAGGGTTGTGCTAGAATTGCAACCAAAAACTCAGGGATTGCAAAGGAGAAAGCCAGACAGTGTAAGTGCAAATCTGGTAGTGAGAGCAAAGCTCTGAGCAGCGAGAACAAAATTAAGGAAATTGATAACAAAAACACATAGAGGCAAACAAAAAAGGAAACATCCTTTGTTACTCATTTTAAGAGGTTGATTCAGATAGTAAGTTTTACCTTTGAAACATGTTTTTTTCCTTTAGTCAATATTTTTGTTCTGTCAATTTTTTAATTTTTGTTTGACCGTCAAAGTGTTTTTCTTGATCATTTTAAGAATCTGATTCAGATCGTAAGTTTTTCTTTTGAAACGAATGTTTTTTTCTCTCAATGTCTTAAAATTTGTTTGCTCTCCAAAGTGTTTTTCTTGATCATATTGGCACAAATCTAATCCCATAGAAAAATAATAAATAATATTAATACTACAGAAATGTTCTGTAGGCCTGGGCTAGAAGACAATGTGAAAGGTGCATGCTACCACACACTATTTTTGGAGTTTACAACTCAAGCCTTTTGTCGACAATGTAAAGTCAGTTTAAACTGGAACTTAGTAGGGTGACACCTGGGGTGGCCAATCAGATTCTAAGGGTGGCATGTGCTACCCCAGGCCACTCCCTGGACACGCCCCTGCAGCTTAGGCTGTGGTCTAGTGTTGGTTGATTTTCTGTGATTTCATTGTCTACAAAAAAGCAACCAAAACTAACTTAAATACAAAATCGTCATAGAACTATATTTCACAGAGAATTTGTAAGAACAAACTGTGGTTTTATGTAAACACAAATGCCTATAAATCTAAAATGAGTTATTTTATTGATTGATTCTATTAGAAAATTCCTTTTTTATTTAAAAAAACAATAAAATAAGTTACGTTTGTGAATATTGCTGAACAGATAATTGTTCAGAGCTTTTAATACACTACTGGTGCCAATAGAGTATTTTTACAGTGGGGCAAAAAAAGTATTTAGTCAGCCACCGAATGTGCAAGTTCTCCCACTTAAAATAATGACAGAGGTCAGTAATTTACATCGTAGGTACACTTCAACTGTGAGAGACAGAATGTGAAAAAAAATCCATGAATTCACATGGCAGGATTTTTAAAGAATTTATTTGTAAATCAGGGTGGAAAATAAGTATTTGGTCAATAACAAAAATTCAACTCAATACTTTGTAACATAACCTTTGTTGGCAATAACAGAGGTCAAACGATTACTATAGGTCTTTACCAGGTTTGCACACACAGTAGCTGGTATTTTGGCCCATTCCTCCATGCAGATCTTCTCGAGAGCAGTGATGTTTTGGGGCTGTCGCCGAGCAACACGGACTTTGAACTCCTTCCACAGATTTTCTATGGGGTTGAGGTCTAGAGACTGCCTAGGCCACTCCAGGACTTTCAAATGCTTCTTACGCAGCCACTCCTTTGTTGCCCGGGTGGTGTGTTTGGGATCATTGTCATGTTGGAAGACCCAGCCACGTTTCATCTTCAAAGCTCTCACTGATGGAAGGAGGTTTTGGCTCAGAATCTCACGATACATGGCCCCATTCATTCTTTCCTTAACACGGATCAGTCGTCCTGTCCCCTTAGCAGAAAAACAGCCCCAAAGCATGATGTTCCCACCCCCATGCTTCACAGTAGGTATGGTGTTCTTGGGATGCAACTCAGTTTTCTTCTTCCTCCAAACACGACGAGTTGAGTTTATACCAAAAAGTTCTACTTTGGTTTCATCTGGCCACATGACATTCTCCCAATCCTCTGCTGTATCATCCATGTGCTCTCTGGCAAACTTCAGACGGGCCTGGACATGCACTGGCTTCAGCAGAGGAACACGTCTGGCACTGCAGGATTTGATTCCCTGCCGTTGTAGTGTGTTACTGATGGTGACCTTTGTTACTGTGGTCCCAGCTCTCTGCAGGTCATTCACCAGGTCCCCCCGTGTGGTTCTGGGATTCTTGCTCACCGTTCTCATGATCATTTTGACCCCACGGGATGAGATCTTGCGTGGAGCCCCAGATCGAGGGAGATTATCAGTGGTCTTGTATGTCTTCCATTTTCTGATAATTGCTCCCACAGTTGATTTTTTCACACCAAGCTGCTTGCCTATTGTAGATTCACTCTTCCCAGTCTGGTGCAGGTCTACAATTCTTTTCCTGGTGTCCTTCGAAAGCTCTTTGGTCTTGGCCATAGTGGAGTTTGGAGTCTGTTTGAGGCTGTGGACATGTGTCTTTTATACAGATAATGAGTTCAAACAGGTGCCATTAATACAGGTAACGAGTGGGGGACAGAAAAGCTTCTTAAAGAAGAAGTTACAGTCTGTGAGAGCTAGAGATTTTCCTTGTTTGAAGTGACCAAATACTTATTTTCCACCCTGATTTACAAATAAATTCTTTAAAAATTCTGCCATGTGAATTCATGGATTTTTTTTTCACATTCTGTCTCTCACAGTTGAAGTGATGTAAATTACTGACCTATGTCATCATTTTAAGTGGGAGAACTTGCACAATCGGTGGCTGACTAAATACTTTTTTGGCCCACTGTATGAAAATGAGAAACAGTCCAAGCTAAAGTATATGCAGGACTTTTTAACAGTTTTAACATTTACTGATGAGCTGTTTAATGGGACAACACAAGTCTATCAGGCAGAGAATTAGTCAGTGTGGCTACAAAAAACATTAGATAACAAGAGATTCTGCTTATTCTGAAATGATGCCTGTGCAACAGTAGACTCAGAAAAGGTGTGTTAAGATGTGAATTGAATGAGTACGGTAAATTTTACTTCATGATAATGCGTCACATGATGTAAAATATTAACTTTTCCCACTGAAATCTCATGTAGATTATCAAAAAACAAATCACATTACTGGAAGAAATCATAGACAAACATCTATTTTTGGAGGCAATAGGCCTACTAACAAATTTTAAATAGATGGTGTACCAGGTCATAAAATAATAAACATTTATGTGTGATATATTTAAAAACATAAATAGAATACTTTCTAATTAAATGACAAATGTGTTATCCATTTTGTCACGTTTAGGAGCAGGAGGTTAGGACCCAAGATGCAGAACCCAGGATGACAAGAGGCTGGAGTGGAAATACAAGTAAAAATCCTTTATTTGGAGGAAGAACCAAAATAAATCCAAACGGCAGGGAGCCAAAATCCAGGGAGTCAAAAAACACAAGAGGGACGAGCAGACTGGCAGAACAAATAACGCTGACAAATAACAATGGACCGACAAGAACAATGAGACAAGGAGGGCTTATATAGACAGGGAGGAGCAATTAGGGAAACAGGAAGCAGGTGTGTGGAGTAAGGCTGGAGGGAAGGCAGGTGACAACAATTATCTGGATGGGGAAGAGAACCAGTGGAGGGAAAATGAACCTAACACTATATAAAACACAAAACTAAACCTAAAGACTAAGGGAAGAACTCACACAAACACATACACATACTGACACACACAAACTCATACATTGAACTGGGGAACAAGAGGCTGGGGCTACAACTTAAGACACACAACAGAGATGCAGACAAAGGACACATGAGGGCGCTAAGAGAACACAAAAAGGGGAATCTAAAGAGGGATGGAGGACATAAGGAGACACATGGAGAAGACACAGACGCAGACCATGACAGTACCCCCCCCCCCCCCCCAAAAGGGCGGATACCAGACGCCCAAGACAAGAACAAGACAAAACCACAAACAAAAGACAAGGACAAAAACAGGACATGAAACCACAGGGAGGGAGAGGAGGGACCAAACAAAAACAAACCACAAGGGCGGGCGAGGAGGGAACAGGAGACTCAGAGGGACCGGCGACGGGGAACCAGGAGGCGGGACCAGGGGAGCCTCGGGGGCTGGCGACGGGGAACCAGGAGGCGGGACCAGGGAAGTCTCGGGGGCCGGCAACGGGGAACCAGGAGGTGGGACCAGGGAAGTCTCGGGGGGCGGCGACGGGGAACCAGGAGGCGGGACCAGGGAAGTCTCGGGGGCCGGCGACTGGGAACCAGGAGGCGGGACCAGGGAAGTCTCTGGGACTGACGACGGGGAACCAGGAGGCGGGACCAGGGAAGTCTCGGGGACCGGCGATGGGGAACCAGGAGGCGGGACCAGGGAACTCTGGGGATAGGGGGCTTTGGAGGAGGAGGAGGAGGAGGAGGAAGGAACTTCAGAGGACGAGGAAGGGTCTCTGGAGATGGGGACTGAGACTGGACCACAGGGGACTGGAACTTTTGAGGTGAGGACTGGAACACTTGGGACTGGAACTTTTGAGGTGAGGAATGGAACACTTGGGACTGGAACTTTTGAGACCGGGGTGGGGACTGGAACACTTGTGGGAACTGGAGCACTCGTGGGTAGACTTGAGACAGGAACACTTGTGGGGACAGGAACACTTGTGGGGAGACTCGAGACAGGAACACTTGTGGGGACAGGAACACTTGTGGGGAGACTCGAGACAGGAACACTTGCGGGGACAGGAACACTTGTGGGGAGACTCGAGACAGGAACACTTGCGGGGACAGGAACACTTGTGGGGAGACTCGAGACAGGAACACTTGCGGGGACAGGAACACTTGTGGGGAGACTTGAGACAGGAACACTTGTGGGAACTGGAACGCTATTGGGGACACTTGTGGGAACTGGAAGACTTGTGTGAACACTTGTGGGAAGACTTGTGGGAACACTTGTGGGAACACTTGTGGGAACAGGAACGCTTGAGATTTGGTAGACCTGGACGTGGAGACTGGAGACCTGGACGTGGAGACTGGAGACCTGGACGTGGAGACTGGAGACCTGGACGTGGAGACTTGAGTCCTGGACGTGGAGACTTGAGTCCTGGACGTGGAGACTGGGAACTTGGACGTGGAGACTGGGAACTTGGACGTGGAGACTGGGAACTTGGACGTGGAGACTGGGAACTTGGACGTGGAGACTGGAGACTTGGACGTGGAGACTGGAGACTTGGACGTGGAGACTGGAGACTTGGACGTGGAGACTGGAGACTTGGATGTGGAGACTGGAGACTTGGACGTGGAGACGTCCACTTCAGAGCCGGGGCGTGAGACGTCCACTTCAGAGCCGGGGCGTGAGACGTCCACTTCAGAGACGGGGCGTGAGACGTCCACTTCAGAGCCGGGGCGTGAGACGTCCACTTCAGAGCCGGGGCGTGAGACGTCCACTTCAGAGCCGGGGCGTGAGACGTCCACTTCAGAGCCGGGGCGTGAGACGTCCACTTCAGAGCCGGAGACAGGAGGTGTCCCGTTCAGGCCTGGAAGTGCCAGACTGGACGGAGCCTCTTGGACGGGCTGGACCGGAGCCTCTTGGACGGGCTGGACCGGAGCCTCTTGGACGGGCTGGACCGGAGCCTCTTGGAAAGGCTGGACCGGAGCATCTTGGAAAGGCTGGACCGGAGCCTCTTGGAAAGGCTGGACCGGAGGCGATGCGTCCTCCGGGACCACCACCGAGACAGGAGGCGATGCGTCCTCCGGAACCACCACCGAGACAGGAGGCGATGCGTCCTCCGGGACCACCGCCGGAGCAGGAGGCGATGCGTCCTCCGGAACCACCACCGAGACAGGAGGCGATGCGTCCTCCGGGACCACCGCCGGAGCAGGAGGCGATGCGGCCACCGGGACCACCGCCGGAGCAGGAGGCGATGCGTCCACCGGGACCATCGCCGGAGCAGGAGGCGATGCGTCCACCGGGACCACCGCCGGAGCAGGAGGCGATGCGTCCACCGGAACCACCGCCGGAGCAGGAGGCGATGCGTCCACCGGAACCACCGCCGGAGCAGGAGGCGATGCGTCCACCGGAACCACCGCCGGAGCAGGAGGCGATGTGTCCACCGGGACCACCGCTGAAGCAGAACGGTTGCGGCGTCGTCGGTGTGGTTTTTTTTTGGCTCAGCTGAGGTATGGAGAGGACACTGGCAGGAACTGAGGAGGAATGACAGCCCACCGGAGAAGATGCGACAGCGCTGTCTGGTCCAGGCGAGGGTGTGATGGCTTGGCCCTTCGGATGTGCTGAGAGGGCATCAACAGGTTTAGGGGAGAAGGAAATGAAGCCGGTTCGGATAGTTTGGACCGGGGCAGGAACGGACTGAAGTCTCGGAGCAGAAGGAGGAGACTTGGAGGAGGAAGTGGCAGGAGCGACTGGTGGAGGAGGGTCACGGCCAAAAGCTCGTAGCAACTTCTTGGCAAAGTCCCAAAAAGAAACTGTCTCGATTGGGTGGATCTCTAGGTAGTCAGCTGCCCAATCCAGAGGTCCATCCCTCAAACAAAGCACCATGAAGGAGACTTTATTGAACTCAGAGGAAGTCATGTCCAGGCTATGGGCGCAGTCCTGAATAAAGCCCCAACAGGTGTCCGGGTCTCCATGACCTGGGATGTTGGTGAAGCTGGAGGTTCTGCTGGGTCCTGGTCTGGTCGGTCCATTCTGTCACGTTTAGGAGCAGGAGTTTAGGACCCAAGATGCAGAACCCAGGATGACAAGAGGCTGGAGTGGAAATACAAGTAAAAATCCTTTATTTGGAGGAAGAACCAAAATAAATCCAAATGGCAGGGAGCCAAAATCCAAAAATCTAGGGAGTCAAAAAACACAAGAGGGACGAGCAGACTGGCAGAACAAATAACGCTGACAAATAACAATGGACCGACAAGAACAATGAGACAAGGAGGGCTTATATAGACAGGGAGGAGCAATTAGGGAAACAGGAAGCAGGTGTGTGGAGTAAGGCTGGAGGGAAGGCAGGTGACAACAATTATCTGGATGGGGAAGAGAACCAGTGGAGGGCAAATGAACCTAACACTATATAAAACACAAAACTAAACCTAAAGACTAAGGGAAGAACTCACACAAACACATACACATACTGACACACACAAACTCATACAATGAACTGGGGAACAAGAGGCTGGGGCTACAACTTAAGACACACAACAGAGATGCAGACAAAGGACACATTAGGGCGCTAAGAGAACACAAAAAGGGGAATCTAAAGAGGGATGGAGGACATAAGGAGACACATGGAGAAGACACAGACGCAGACCATGACACATTTGTGCATTCAGATATGCAGAAAGCCCTGGGATTGTGCACAATTTGCGCAAACCAGAAAACTCTTAATTTTAGTGAGCCCTCTAGTGGTGACATGTTGCAATGCAGCAAAGAGTTCATCTAACGGCTGTAAGGCAAATGTTGCTTTCACACGTACCCGGATAAATCCGTTGTTAAGGACATGCCAGACCTGTAGGCGGCAGTACTTCCCCCGTTCTTAACCTCGTCCTTCGTCTGTGGTCTTCCGCAAGGAGCAGTAATTCCGCTTGCAAAAACAAACAAGCAAAAAGTGCTTGGACAATTGATAAAGAGAGCGCAGCTCTGAGGGCATCCATGCTGTCGGCTAGTGTAAACACAGGTCGCACACGTGATGTCAGCATTTTTTTGTCGCGGAAAGTGACGTTGCGGACCTTAAAACTCCGGTTTTGTCTGTCCACACGCAGACACCCAAAACGGAGAAAACGCAGATCCTCACTTTGGCCGGAGTTTTTAAAAAGATCCGTTTTCGTGTGAAAAAACTCCGTTTTCGTGTGGATGACAGGCCAAAACGTAGAAAAATATCTACGTTTTGGCAGATCCCCGGCTACGTGTGGACAGGGCCTAAGATTGTGAGTCCAAACTGGGCTGATGATGAAACCACTTATTGATCACTGAGTCAGCAGAAAAATTTCCATGCACTTTTTCTTGCAGTTAAATTCCAGTGTCGTAATTACACTGCAGTCTGCAGAGAAGAACAATCAGCTTTAGTTTTCTTTTTTTTACTTACTTATTGGCACCAATTATTAATTCCAGTTTTCTCAAAATCATTTCATTTTTGATGCCTAAATTAAAACCTCCGTGTGTTTTACATGTGGCAGTTAATGTTATGGTTTATAATAACTGTGATAATCTTCCTAAGAATAGATTATTGTGTTCTGGATTATCAGAAGTTTTAATTCCATCATCTTTCACCCATACTGTCACAGCCAACAGATGTGGAAATTTCCATCAGGCTGGGCAAAGTCTGACATGCTCTGGCTGTGTTACCTCTCTGACCTTCATGCTTTTTTCTGACAATATATAACCACTCTCTCGTCTTTGAATCACATTTTCTTACTATACCCCTACTACAGTTTTAAATAAGAAAATCAGTAAATCTACATCCACTGGAAAGTTGTTTTTGCTCTGCAAAAGCATGGTGCACTGAAACATCAGATTAAGTGGAATTAACCCATGACACCATCAATGAGTTTGCACAAAACATATTCACGTGGTGGAAAATGTGTCAAAATGTAGTAGATTGATAACATTTTTGACTTTTCAGAAGTTGAGCTGAGTGCATGGTATTGAATTGAACTATTCTTGATGTGGAATCTACTGCTGGATGTGGAATCAGGGAATTTCCAGCTGATGAAGAAAAAACTAACAGATTTAGAAAAATATTGGCTGCATATGTACAATTTTAATGTAATTGATTCTCAGATTAATCAATTATAAATCTGTAACACTGCACTAGACCTCACTAGACTCCTGGAATAGATTTTTATAGTCTTGTAAGCTGAGAAACGTGGCTTCCACCAAACCAGACCTGCATGTTCCGACCTATCTCACAGATGTTTCATCAGACAGAAATTTGAAAAGTCAGCAACTAGAACATGTTTTCTTGATTGGTGAAACATTCCTGGATAGTTTTACCCATTTCAGATTTTCTTGTGAAAAGCAGCATACGATGTCCTTTTGACAGGTTAAAACAGCTTTTCAACTTCAATAATGAATGAAAATATAAAAGGTTTGCTTCACTTCATCTTCATAAAAAGCTTCAGCAGAAGAAGAAAAGTAAAAAAGATCAACATGATGCACAACGAATACAAAGAGTATGACCCAAGTCCTACTTCCTTCTCCAACGTTTCTGTCTGAGCACAAAGACCCAACTGCAACAATCAGAGCAAAAGTCTAAGCAAACATCAAACTGAATCGATGGCATTCATACGTTAAAGGAGCTTGTAAACATTACCTAAGCTATTGATTACTTCTACTGTAGGCAAATGCAGTAAAAGTCACAAAATTATTCTTCTTGGCAATCATGAGGAGTTGTTGTGTGGAGGAACTGAGAGAATGGAAAATGCAGAGAAAACTTTATCTTTATGTTGCGCTTGGTCTGTCCTTCTAGCTTTAGCTGAGCACAAGTCTTGGTTTCAGAGTTCACTTGCGTTCATTCCAAACAGCTGATTACAGTCTCTGTTCATTCCCAGCAAATGCTCTTTGAAGTCTACTGTAAAACAAAACCAAAAAAACTTCAGCTTTTCTAATGAAAAACAGGCTGAACAGCTCGGCTGCCATATTTGATTTGATTTTCACGTGAATTATTTCACATCCAGTAGTATAACAAGACAATTACCTCCAAAAGACATGTTAATGGAGGTCAGGCAAGCTGCCAGGCAAGCATAAGTGATTATTTGCTCTGTCATCATGTCACTAAGTTTGAACCGTCCAAGTGAAAACCGCATTTAGAGAAATACAGTTAATGAAATTAAACCAAACAATCTTCTTATATAAATTCCCGTGGCATGACTGAATTAGTCTGCAGCTTCCTGAATGTTTTCTAAGCTACAAAGAGAGCACTCACACCGTCTCTCACAGTTTATAGTCTCTGTGGTGGTGGGGGTGGGGGTGGGGGGGGGGGGTGTGGGGGGGGGAGTATGCCATAGGTCTCCGTCTCAGTATAAAAGCCGGTGCTCTGATGTCTCGACCCTCTTTCAGGCTCAGAAGCACACACGGTAAGAAAAACAGCATTTTAAATTCTCAATCTGCATTTCAATCACGAGTGAGCTGAATACTCAGCCACTCACCCATGCTGTGTCGGTGGCTCAAACTCACATGTTTAGAACAACATAAGAGCAAAGAAAGTATCCTTTTTTCTCTATGGCAATCACAATGAAAGTGCCTTACTTTTCTTTTATATTAGTTTATTGTCATGTTGGCATTTTCAGTTGTTTTTATTTATTGCTTTATTATTTTGTGATGTTGAAACAATGCAGCTATCACAAACTGAAAACGTTGAGATAATGCATTATCTCTGGTGAAAAGGGAAAGATACTGCAAAAGCAAACCCTCACAGGGACTGTTGCCATGTGGAGACTTTTAAAATATGAAGCTAGGTGATGGAAACAAGTAAATTAAGCACACATTCGACCAGTGCAGCACATCTCATTAGAAGAAGTACCAACATATGAGTGACTGCACAGACGTGGCACAGTTGGTTGCCTTCAGAGGGTCATTCAGTTTAAATTAGCACAGCAGGGTAATGACCTTTGTCCTCCTTCGGGTAGAAGACTTTGATTACGGGGACTGTAATCAGAGCTTCAGCTGAAAAGAAAGCTGAAGAAAGTGTGCCTGAAGCCTCGAGGTTGTTCTGAAATTCCTAAGATTAGTTGAGTGTGGTGAAACTGCATTGGAGACAACTTGTTCAGTCAAATAAACAATGTTTGAAAAAGAAAATAAGACTGAGCTGCTGCAGGCAACAATTGTTCAGTTCAGTGAAATACAACAGCAGCAAAAACATCTATGATAATCATGCACAGCTAAACTAAACACGTAAAGGAGAATGCTACTCGCTGTAGTCAGAAGAAAATGAACAATGCTATTTAAATCAATTGTCTAATCTGAAACTTTGTGAACCATAAATTATCCATTCTTCATAGTGGCCACCTGTTTTGCTTAAAGATACTGTTGTCTACTTTTCTGTTGACATGTTGCAGCTTCATCATGGTGTTTAGAGTAGCAGTGATCGGAGCGGGCCCCTCAGGTCTGACCAGCATCAAGGCGTGTCTAGATGAGGGCTTGGAGCCAACCTGCTTTGAAAGCAGTGATGACATGGGTGGTCTGTGGAAGTTCAAGGCAAGTTGCTGCTTTTTGTTAATCTGCTGTTGATGTCCTCAAGCTAGTCATGTGAAAATAAACCAAATGTTATCCATTTTTACTCCACCCTTTCTGGAATTTGGCTTGTTTGTCTCATGCTCTGTCATAACTGTAACTCTGCAGGAAGTTTCAGAGCCCAACAGGGCCAGTATCTATCGTTCCCTCACCATCAATATCTGGAAGGAGATGATGTGCTACAGCGACTTCCCCATCCCTGCTGATTATCCCAACTACATGCACCACTCTAAAATCCTGAAATATTTCAGGATGTACGCAGAGCACTTCAAATTACTTGAACACATTCGCTTTCAGGTTACCAAAGAAGCATATTGTTATATAATGTTGCTGATGTTTACATGCATTGACTGACTTGTAATTCATTTTCGTTTTCTTATGTTAGACCTCAGTGAAGAAAGTCACACAGAGACCAGATTTCTCTCGCACTGGTCAGTGGGAGGTGGTCACAGAGAATAAAGACGGACTAGAGGAGAGACACATCTTTGAAGCAGTTATCTGCTGCTCTGGTCACTTCAATTATCCTAACCTGCCACTCAAAGACTTCCCAGGTAAATGTGTGGCTGCAAAAAGCATAATTACACTGTCTATACACAAGGGTTGAACAACACAGCACTATTGTTGCAGGAATTGAGACATTTGAAGGACACTACTTCCACAGCTGGGACTACAAAGGACCTGAGGACATGCATGGGAAGAGAGTGGTAGTCATTGGCATCGGCAACTCAGGAGGTGACATCGCTGTGGAGGGAAGCAGAGTTGCAGAACAGGTTGGGAAGTCTCATTGATTATTTGGCTTTCTTCTAACATTTTTGTGATTTCGTGTTCAGATTGTTGGGTATTTTTGTGAGTTGATGTTTTTCTCCTGCAGGTGTATTTGAGCACTCGCAGTGGTGCTTGGGTCATCCGTCAGGTTTCTGACAATGGCGAACCAGTGGACAGGTTCAACTCACGATTTGTACACGTCCTGTTCAAGGTTTTGCCCATGAGTTTTCTGAACTGGCTGGGTGAGAAAAAGCTCAACGCCATGTATGATCATGCTATGTACGGGCTGAAACCAAAACACAGGTATGACATTTTTACATCCAGGGGGTGACGCTAATGCACTAACCTTCTTATACAAAAAACAGTGTATGAATGGATTTCATTGGTAGAAATTGAAATTACTAAAAGTGTGTTGGAAAAAAAACTATGGGGCAAGCATGAGGAGTTGAGTGATTTGGCAAGAACCATGATGGCTCTCCATCACTGCAGCAGTTGCTGGATGTTCCCACTTTGCAGTCAGGATCAAATGTGACCCAAGAAGAGATAAATGGTGAACTACATACAGTCACAGATGGTCATGGCTCAATGATGCATGTGTGGAACAAAGGTTGATCTTGTTGTCTGATTCAGTGGAAGGAAGAAATGTGTTAAACACACAGTTTGTGTCACATTGAGGGTAGGAGGTTTGGATCCAAAATGCAAGAACCCAAAGCTGCACAGGCAGGAGCAGTTGCAAGAAGAAGAATCCTTTATTTAGGAGGAGTTGTAAAAATCCAAAGGGGCTGGAATCTAAGCCTCGCATATAAACACTGAAAGCCAAAACAAAAGCTCTAACTTATGAGCAGGAACCTAGAGAGCACAGGAGGGAAACTAGAACAACGTTGACAAGACAATGGACCAACAAAACACTTCTTCTTCTTCAGTGAGTGTTCAACGGCAAATGCAAGCTACTTAGCGCATTACCGCCACCCTCCTGATTGCATGTGAACAGTCACTACTACTGTTCATACTCCCAACAAAACTCTGAGGCCTAGTCCACACGTAGCCGGGTTTCTGTAAAAACGAATATCCGCCCCTCCAAAAACTTGCATCCACATCACCTCGTTTTAAAAAAAAACTTTGTCCACACGTACCCGGATAAATACGTTGTTAAGGACATGCCAGACCTGTAGGCGGCAGTACTTCCCCCGAATTGTATCCAGTCAGCGTAACTTCTCGTCTTCCGCAAGGAGCAGTAATTCCGCTTGCAAAAACAAACAAGCAAAAAGCGCTTGGACAATTGATAAAGCGAGCGCAGCTCTGAGGGCATCCATGCTGTTGGCTAGTGTAAACACAGGTCGCACACGTGATGTCAGCATTGTTTGTCGTGGAAAGTGACGTTGCGGACCTTAAAACTCCGGTTTTGTCTGTCCACACGCAGACACCCAAAACGGAGAAAACGCAGATCTTCACTTTGGCCGGAGTTTTTAAAAAGATCCGTTTTCGTGTGAAAAAACTCTGTTTTCGTGTGGATGACAGGCCAAAACGTAGAAAAATATCTACGTTTTGGCAGATCCCCGGCTACGTGTGGACAGGGCCTGAGAGACAAGACAGGGTTATATACACAGGGGCTGGGTGATAAAAGGGAATTGGGCACAGGTGGGACTAATAAACTGAGAGGAGGAGCAGAAACAGGCAGGGGAGAACACCAGATCTAAATCCTGTAAAACAAAGCTACTAAACTAAAATAAACCTAAACACTGTAGAACTAAGACACAGGAGATCTAAAGACAAGTAAACTAATGACCTACATGGGGAAGGAAACAACACACTAAAGGAGATACGACTAGATAATCTGAACATATAGAAAACTAAAAACAAGTGAAGTGACTAGGGGGAACATGAGGGAAACCTGGAGGGGGCTGGGGACCAAAGGAACACAGAACTTGACAGTTTGTTGCATTTTTTTCCTTATTGGGACTGCTGTGTTCACAATGAAGCCAGTTGATTTGCTGCTAACAAGTGTTCACAAAGGCCCTGTGGCTGTCAGAATTTGATTCAAAGATGTTGGTACAGTCTGACCAATCAGTGTTTTTTTTAACCATGTGAATGAATAGGTCTGTCTTTTTTAGACATGGCAGCGGCACAAGTGATGTGGGTTGTTTCACTGGGAAATCTTGAGTTCTGCCTTTTAGGTATTGCCAAATCAGGTACCATCTACTAAGGGTTAAAGGGATACTTTGTTGACATAGGAAGTAAAGTTGTATGAAATGAAAGTCAGTAACTCAGCAACAGATTTCCAGACTGGAATGCCAAAGAAAAGTTTTCATGAGGAAGTTAGAGTCAAGATTAGCACTATTCAAAAGTTGTTTTTAGGAAACAAAGCTGTCAATTAGCCACATTGCTTTGGCAGCATCTGGGAGCCTTAGGTTGTTAATAAGTGGTCAGACCGTGGCGCAATCGTGTCCTTTTCACAATAAAGTTACGTGATGGCGGCATAAAGGGGACATGGGGTGGTCCCTGCGCTGCCGTGGACTTCCATTTATCTTGGACATGACTTGCTTTTTATTGTGATCAAAGCTGCGCTCATGAAGTTTTTTTAGCCGCTCCAAAAGGTGTCTGTCCCCCGCAGTCCTCGTGCAGTCTCTGATGATTTTAGAGTTTAGTAAAAGTTATTTGTTTACCTTACATGTTCCAGCTAGTAGCTCTAGCCATCTTCAGAGATCGCTGGTGATTGCTTCTCTTCCTTTAATCCTTTATATTAAATCAAAACCCTGGTCAACGGACTTTTATTTTTAGATTTTTATAATGAATGCAGATTACTTCATGACTCTCTCACTCCTCCACCATCTCTTTACATTCAATAGGCTCTTCAGCCAGATCCCAGTGATCAATGATGACCTTCCTTTCAAGATTTTGTCTGGGTCAGTCCTCATTAAACCAAACATAAGAGAGATTCGTGGATCCACCGTGGTGTTTGATGATGGCAGCGCTGTGGAAAATGTCAGTAAAATACAACATGGCCTACTCAAGGTCTTCTTTATGTCAAGAACAAACTGAGGAATGAGTGCTTGTGTGTTCTATATTACAGGTGGACACAATTGTCTTTGCCACAGGGTACAACTATGACTTCCCATACTTGCCAAACAATGCAATGTACAAGTCAGGCCACCGAGTCGGTCTGTACAAACATGTTTTTCCTCCAAACCTGGAACATCCCACTCTGGCCATTGTAGGTTTTATCCATTCTGATGGAGCCATCATGCCACAAGCTGAAATGCAGGCTCGCTTTGTTGCTCGAGTCTTTGCCGGTGAGGATGCCCTTCACTGTGGTTTAAAATTAAATATCCCCCCATTTAACATTTATAAGTTATAACTATCTGTCCATCTGTCTTGGTTTTTTAGGCCATAAGAAGCTACCAGCAAACCAGGCTATGATCAAGGCTGTGGAAAAGGACACCAAGCAAATTGAGAAAAGGTACGAGAAACTCGATTTACAACTTTAATACCAAACCAAGTAAAGTTTTTTTTTTACTTAATGAATCATCACCAACAGAAGGATGCTAGCATTGGTATTACATTAACCAAGGGCGTCAGTTTGTTGTCAGAATTGCTGGGGACAATAACCATACACTTGAGTGGGGTTTAAAAATTGCTGGGGACAATAAAGTAGGCTAGCACAGGGGTCGGCAATCCGCGGCTCTGGAGACGCATGCGGCTCTTCCATCCATCTGATGCTGCTCTCTGTGCTTGTAAAATAATGAATGGATATTTAAATAAAATGCTTTATGTTACTGCATTAATTTTACATCTGTATGCCAATTCCAAATGTAAAGATTGTCTGCGTAAACCTGAACAGGTCTAACCCAGTCTTACTGTGAGACCGGGTTGACGCGTCACGCTTGTGCGTAATCATATGCGCTTCCTGAGCTGAAGGATGTGAGATTCTGGGCTTCTCCTCAGACAGGTTCCTGGATGCGTCGCCACATTGGAGACAGGAACAAGCACTATTCAGCCAAAGTTTCATAATCAGGTTTGGCAGTGTGAGTGTCCCGATAGATCATGCGCCCTGGCTACTTGGCCAAGGGGTTGTCCCTTTGGCTGACTGGTTAGAGCGTATGACTCTCACCCGGGAGTCTGGGGATTGAATCGCGCCCGAGCCCTCGTTTCATTTGACTGTTTATTTTGATGGATAAACTCAAGGATGTTGCTTGGTTTGAAAGAATTACCCCGACGCAGGACGCACACTGATGCGCATGGATGAGCTGACATTTTAATCGTTAACGCACATCGCGGAGGTCAAATATTCCCATCAGAACATCAGAGCTTTATACTGGACACTGTGTTCAGCGTGGCTCGGAGCGCCCACGGTGGACAGTGAGCTCAAGATCTGGGGTTCGCAGCGCAGCACAGAACCGGCGCATGCGATAAGATTTCCTCCCACTGAAACAGTCTGGAAACCCGGTCTCTCTGAGGGATGTGTCACTTGGAAAAATGTTCTTTTTATGAAATTATGAAACTTTGGCTGAACAGCGCTTGTTCCCGTCTCTAATATGGAGACGCATGACGCGTAGAGACATTTGATTACGCACAAAGTTTATGTGGAGCAGAAGCGGTCGGGCCACGGCAGGTGAAATGTTCCTAGCCTACATGAAGTGAAACTGTTTAATTGTAACATTAATATGTTACTGGACACGCTGGTCTGGTTGGTTAGACCAGTGTTTGAAGTGGAAAACACACACACACACACACACACACACACACACACACACACACACACACACACACCAATTAAAATAATGCTGATAGCGTGGACTAGAAGACAGGTGATGGTTTATGTATTTAAATGATGATCAGGCTGCTGTAAAATGTAATCTCCATCCACAACCAGACACAATTATCCTCTATTCTTTCTCTAGTTGCTCTGCTCTTGTCTGGGCTGATCAGCTGATGGTGCGCGCGGCGCACCTAACTAGCGGCTGATGCACATTTTACGCATTTGGAGAGATGGGCTGGATGCTTTGCTTTTACTGGAAGATGGTCCACTTAACGCACGGGTGTAGACTACATATTAATGACAAATAATTGAAAATTAAATTGTGAGTTTTTACTTCATATTTTATAAATAAAAAGGACGGGGGAACACATTTATGACGTCTTTTTAAACTAAATTTTCTGGCGCGACCTGCCTGCTTCACTTAAGTCACTGCTTATTAAGGTTTGTCCAGAATTACCGTGGGAAAAGGGTAATGATGGCTCTTTGATGGGAACAGGTTGCCGACCCCTGGTATAAGATCTGAGCTGGTAAAACAAAAATCCTCATCAGCAGGCGTTTTTGAAAGTGGGGGGGACACAGATGCCAATCACAAATTTTGCCGGGGACATGTCCCCGGCGTCCCCGGTTAAAATGACGCCTATGACATTAACAGTGTTATGTTGTTATATGTTAGAGTTAGGCAATCCTGGTCCTCAAGTGCCGCTATCCAGCATGTTTTAGTTGTTTCTCCAACACACCTTATCCAATGGTCGAATCACCTGTTTGCCAGGTTTTCAAGCTCTGTAGAAGCCTGTTTACCTCTTACTGATTAAAATCAGTTGTGTTGGAACAGGGAAACTACTGAAACATATTGGATAGTGGTGCTCAAGGACCAGGATTGCCTGCCCCTGTTCTATGGAAATGTCAGTCTTGAGGTTTCAGTCGTTACCCAAGGTTGGGAGGTAATCATTACAAGGGTGAAATTCAATCATCTTCTCACTGCTCTAGCTCCTTATGGGGAATCGCAAGGCATCCCCAGGACATAGAAACTTTATTATCCCAGCAAGTTCTGCCCATACAACCTCTAAAGGAAGGCAACCAGGAGGCATGCTAATCAGAGAGCTGAACCATCTCAGCAGACTAATTTCAATGCAGAGGACCAGCAGCTCTACTCTGAGCAACCCCAATATTGTAGCTCCTTACCCTATTTCTAAAAGAGTCTAGCATTTGACCCTCTTCACACACTCACACTACAACTTCAATGTCTCACACTGAAGAATCACCCCTACTCCACTCTCATGGCTAGCTTACGGAAGCAAAACTGTCCACAAGTTCACTTTGGGAAATATGATGTTTTTTCTATTTAAACCTTGTTGTTTAAATTCATTTTTTTATTTTGGTATTTTTTTCAGCTATGTCGTGTCAAAGTTGACACCCCTACAAGTAGACTTTGTTGAGTACATGGATGACTTAGCAAAGGATATTGGAGTACGGCCCAGTCTCCTCTGGCTCCTCTTCACAGACTTCCCGCTGTTTAAAAGGGTGTTCTGGGGACCTGTCACTGCATACCAGTACCGACTAATGGGACCGGGGAAGTGGATAGGGGCACGAAAGGCCATCTTCACTCAGTTGGACCGCATGTACCAGCCGCTAAAAACCCGAAAGGTCTGAAAAGGGCATCATTTCCCAAAGTTCTTATTGCTTCATATTGTTTGGATTCTTTTCTGAAATAATTTTATCAGATGCTCAGCAGAGTCTGCAAGTTTTGTAATATCCAAACTATCATTTTCCTGCAGCTGACGATCAATCAGAGTTCAACCACAGGTCGTCTCATCAAGCTGAGTTTGATCGTCATGACTGGAGGTGCTGCTCTGTATTACTTTCACGTGCACAACCCAACCACCATCCCTATCCTGATGTCCAAGTTTCATCTACAAACAGTCTAAATGAAACCGTACTTACTGGCTGTTTTATGTAACTGGCCAAGTAAGACATCGGCCACTTATTCCCAGTAGTTCTAACTGCTATGGCTTTGTGAAGCTTTTTAGTTTACTGGAAAAGTGTAACATTGGACGAAACCTTCAATTTAACACAATTTGACCTAAAATAACCGTTTGTATTTTAAAGTGCTGTAACCAGTTTTACTGATTAAAAGCAAGTCAGATTTGGGCATTATAATCACCTTTCTATACAGTGAAGATGTGTTTGCCATATTTTCACTATAAAACTAAAACACAGTTTCACAATAAAAACAGTATTGTGAATGTTTTAATAGAAAAATAAGCTTTTTACCATCTGAACACATTCTTTGAAGCTGGTTATAAGCTATGCATTTTGCATATACAAGCTTTTTATTTTCTCATTTTTCAAAATTATGTTTGTTTCTTCCCACAGTATAGCAGCAGGTAACTTATAGTAAATGTATCAACTAGTAAAGCATGTTAGTGTTTTATGAAGTTGTGTTGAAGTTGCACAAATTAATCCTTCCAGTTTGTATATACTATTATATGAGATCAAATATAAATAGTGAAAAAATGAATAAAATAATTGTTTAACTAAGCCATATGCTTTGCTGTGGGTTTCTGAAGAATCTGTCTGTCATGGTCTGCATCTGCGTCTTCCTTCATGTGTCTCCTGATTCTCCATCCCTCTCTAGATTCCCTTCTGTGTCTCATAGCGCCCTCATGTGTCCTTTGTCTGCGTCTCATTTATGTGTCTTCTGTTTGTAGGCCTTCATATCATTCCCTCAGGTCCGCTGTTTATTTAGTCATCCTCAGCCCCCTCCAGTTGTTGCTCCAGCTTCTTGTTCCCTAGCTCAGTATATGTGTGTATTAGTGTGTGTATGTGTGTGTGAGTTTATGTGTGTGTCAGTGTGTGTATGTGTATATGTGTGTGTGTGAGCCCTTCCCTCTGTGTTTAGGTTTAGGTTTATTTGCCCTCCTCTGTTTCTGTTTTCCCATTTAGATAATTATATTCACCTGTCTTCCCTCCAGCCCTCACTCCACACACCTGCTGCCATTTTCCCTGATTACCTCCCTCTGTGTTTATAAGCCTTGTCTTGTCACTCTGTGGTTGTTGGTTCATTGTCTTGGTCAGCGTTGTTTTGTCTCCACTCTCCACTCTCCACTCTCCACTCTCCACTCTCCACTCTCAGTCTTTAGGTCTCTGCTCAGAAAGTGAGCTTTTGGATTTTGGTCTCAGTTTAGTTATTGGGTTTTTGCCTTCGCCCCTTGGATTTTAGGTTCTCCTCCTAAATAAAGGATTTTTACTTTTCAACCGCTCCTGCCTGTGTGTTCTGGATTTCCTGCACCTTGGGTCCAAGCCTCCTGCTCGCAGAATCCCCAGGTCAAACCCTGCAGTTCAGATCAGGTCAGCCAGGAACTGAAATATGAAAGCATCATAAAACATCTGAAAACTTTCAAAATAAAAGTCACATGTAGATTTCCAGGCTGCTTAAAAACGTAGAAAATGTACATCTTTTCCTGTGAAACTTCCAGAGCTGAGGTAAACAGAACTGAAAATAAAATAGAGGTCTTTTTTGATACCTGCAGCTGCCTTTCTTATTGATCTAGACTGGCTTTAAATGATAAATATGATAAATGACCTGCACTTGTATAGCACCTTTCAGAGTCAGAGGACACTAAGGCGCTTTACACTACAGTGTATTATTCATTCTTTCACACACCGATGGCGATGAGCTATGATGTAGCCACACTGATGGAGGTGAGGTTGCCGAGCGCAGGTGCTGCTGGTCCCTCTGACCACCTACAGCAGGCAAGGTGGGTGAAGTGTCTTGCCCAAGGACACAACAGCAGAATTTTTTGTCCAGAGCCAGGATTGAACCTGCAACCTCCCAATTGCTAGGCAAGCTGCTCAACCTCCTGAGCTACTGCTGCCCCTTTAAAGTCCATACTACTAGTTTGATTGACAGCCTTCAATCTGCTTTGAATACACAATTAGTGTATAAATGTCAGATTTACCACAAAGCAGGAGTCTGTCAATAATACAGGACCATTTCTCAATATGCAGAATGTGTGAATAATGGATGTGAAGGACTGTCGAAGACGGACATCTGGCCACACCAGGTGTGGATCCTCCAACTTGCTCTTGATTAACTCTGGCATGAAAGATGGTGGAAGATATGCATTCATTCAATGGGGTCCTTTCCTTACCTAAAAGCTGGACTCATTCTATTTGCCACATCATTTTGATGGCAAACATTATCTGTTATCATACTCCCCTTTGCGTCTGGTTAATAATTTCTTTCCAAGGAGAGTCAGCTGTTATGTTTAACTTATTAACCAACACCTGGGAGAGAGATATAAGGACCCTCCTTTCGTCAAACTTTTTGACAGGTCTATTGTTCTTTGACCTCATGACCTTGGCCCCCCTTCCCTAGCCTAAATCAAATTGACTCACGCTGTAAGTTACAAACTCTGCACAAAAGAAACTTCGTTCTCTTTGTGTCCAGCCCGTTGGAGAAACACTTGTGCGGAGAAACAACGGAGAAGCGTAAATCACATCTGACCAGCGAACACAAGGGACGCCTTGCCTTCGCTCAGAGAGGTTTTGCTCCTGCAAGTTTTATTTCATTTAAACTTTTATCTTTCCCGTTCTTCTAGACCAAAATAAGCGATCGCCGCGGCTCGTTTAAAAGTAGCTTCGTGTTTTTCTCTATCTCCGGACCAAAACGGCACCCGGATTACCGTGAAGTAAGGTCGTTTCTTTTATTAATGTCTATGTGTTGAAAGCTGTGGCCACAGCTTTTAACAGATCATTAGATATTGCCTAGGAGTGACCTTTTGTTGTTTGTTAACTTTTGAAGTGTTTAAGTTAAGTTTTACTGTGATTTTAAGCCACTAAGTGTTCGGGAAAGTTGAAAAACTTTACACATCCAGGTCTCCTGTAGAATGCGAGAGGGAGGGGAAGGTCCCCCTCTCACACTCTCAAGCCCTTTTCAGATAGACATTCTGGAACATTTGTGGACAATTCAATCCAGTTTTTAACCAGAACTGTGTTTTCAGACACACCACTTTTGTACCGGAACTTGTCCTTTCGGCTGCGTTCACACAGCAGGGAAAAGTTCCAGATGTCTGACGGCGGCGGAGGGGTGGTGGGGGGAGAGAGAATCTGACTCATGTTAAGAAGAAGAAGAAGAAGAAAATATCATTTCTATAGCGCCTCTCAAGATAAAAATCACAAGGCGCTTAAGCATAATTCTGCGCACACGAAGACGCATAAGAGACCTGAATGATGAAGCTCAATGGTTAAAGGAATCACTGAAGCGGTGTGAAGCGCTCCGTCGCGCGTCTAGACGGTACCGTAGGAGGCGAGCTGCCGTGGTTCGCCGCATGCTACAGCAGCAGGCTATCTAGGTGCGCACAGCGTCCCCCGGTCCCCTCCTCCTCCCCCTCCCCCTTGTCCGGAACTTTACCTCACCAGTCTGCAGCAGCCACCCTGTCCGTAACAAGTCCGGACCTGTTACTAGGGGCTTCGTCCGGATAAATTCCGGAACACGTTATCCGGATGTTTGTATTCAGACACAAAGGTCTTACGGACAGAGTCCGGAACATTTCCGTTTTTCATGGCCTGTCTGAAGGGGGCTTCACACACACACCCGCGCGCACCTACCCATTCAACACACACACACACACACACACACACACACACACACACACACACACACACACACACACACACACACACACACACACACACACACACACACACACACATGTTTTTAGTGTTTGGGGGGGACTCAAGCTAAAGACACATATTGGGTCAAATTGTTTCACATGGTTATTATTCATTTATTTCATTGTTTATTCATTTGACAGATTGTTTAATTAAATGTTATAAAATTCAGAATTTTGATTCCAGTTGACTTTGTTTGTGTTGTTGTGAAGTCTCTGCTCCTAGAACTTTACGAATTTCAGACAGACTGATAAGATTTTGGATTAAATTAATTTCCCCTTTCTAATCAGAACGGGGTGGTGCCCCGAAGATATCTAAGAATATCTTAATTAATTAATAAATCAGTAAATATTCCCATATTTACAGAATTTATTGAAGAATCCAAAACGTAAGTAAAAGCTTACAAATTATTCGCTACCTAATAACCCCAACTACCTTTTTATTATTTTTGAGTGTTTTCGTGTGTAATGTGACTTTGTTGCTGACTTATGACCGAGAGGCTCTTCTAGACCTTCGATCAGCTGCTGGCCTGGTGAAACCGGGTGCTTGGATGGGCTGGAGGAGTTCTGGTTTTTCGTCCTCCTGCCAGTGCCGCTCGGCACCACCGCTTGTGCCTCGACGGCTCCTGGATCGGGCTAACTGGAGGAAGCGTCGTAGGGGTCGTGGAAGGCGTGGCGGACGGCGGGTGAGACTACGGTCCAAGCTGTCACGGTCCCGTAGGGAGCTTGCTGAGCTGACGGGTATCAACTGTCATCTTGTGGCGCCGTCACGCCTGTTGGAGCCGGCCCCGTCCTGCCTCGTGCCGTTGGTGGGATTTGAAGAGGAGACTGTGCACCCGCGCTTTCGTCCAGTGTCTCGGTGCTGATGGAGGGGAGTCAACCCAGCGAATCTCCACCCGGTGACCTGTACGGGGGTAGCATCCACGTCCCTGGGCTTAAATAGCGCTGAGCCGACTCCACATCTCACACGGCTAGGTCTGTCATGTCCCTGAGCAGAGGTGAGTTCCACCATCTCCTCTCATCAGAATCTGACTTCATTCTCCGCAGGTGGGGAGCAGAGGGAACTACAGCTGCAGACGATTCTCTAATCAGGAACGCGGGTTTAAAAGGAGGACGGAGACACTTCATTTCGCCGGATGATTGTGCCAGTTCAGGTAGCACCAGCCACTCGCCTTGAAATTTGATAACTCGTGTTTTGACTCGCCTTCGACTTTGGATTATTGGCCTTGGATTGTATTTTCGGTTTTGGATTTGGATTATCCCTTACACCTGTTTGTCTCGCTCAGGATCACTTCGACATCTCCTCACCCTCACTGTCTTCACTTCTGGATCATTCAACACGTCTCGTCCTCCTCCGCCATTCCTGCTCGGATTTCCCTCTGCTGCCTCACTCCTACGAAATCTCTCACCCTCTGCTCAGCATCCTTCCCGGCTTCCCTTCCCCTCATCATTCTACCTGAACCCCTCAAAGACTCGAGCCGTCTTGGCTCCTCAGCACAGGACTTCCCTGTTGCAGTTTTCAGTTACCGTTTATAATAAAGACATTTTTACTTTACTACTTTGGACTTGTGTGATGATTCTGCATGTCTTGGGTTAGGCACTTACCTCGAGCCATGACAAGGTCTGGTCAACGCCAGGTCGGTAATGAATAAAACTTTCATTTTGAAAGACTTCTTTGTTGCACAGGGGTTGGAACTCCTATGCATATGTGAGAGCTGGCTGCCTATGGGAGATTCGAGTGCTTTACTGGAACTACTACCAGTGGGTTGTAGCTGTTTCAATGTCCCGAGGTCTTCTGGCAGAGACGGTGGACTGGTTGTCGTGTATAAATCTCACTTCAACTGTAAACAGCTTATTCCATCAAAT